TAGCGCCTCTAGATTAACTATAATAGCCTTAGCTATTCTTTTCTAGTAATTAAGTTAGTAGTTTCTAAGCTACCTAATTACAAAATTAACCTACGTAACTAAGTTAGATAGAGTAGAGTTACTCTTAAAGAAGTATTTATAGGCTCTAGCCTAGCTATTAAGTTATACTCTATTCTTACCTTTAAAATAAGTTAAAGAGTTAGACTTTAGAAGTAGAATCTTAAAAGACCTAGTCTAGTATAGGTTACTCTTAGTAGGCGTAGTTAGAGCTAGTGTTAGTATAGGTAGAGATAGAGCGTAAAGATTACTACTAGTAATTATAGTCTTAAGAGCTTTACGTTAGACGCGTAGAGTAGTAATCTTTATATACTATTCTACTTCTAGTAGAAGCTATTCTTTCTATTTAAGTTTCTACTAGAGAGTTAGAAGTGTTAGCTCTTTAATAAGTAACTTCTTCTTAACTAAGAGTGTTTTCTTAGTAGATATTAGAGCTTATAGCTTCTTTTTAGTAGTAGTTATAGTTAATAAAGTATTAACTAGCCTAGGCTAGGCCTAGAATACTACGTTCTCTACTACGCTACGTAATTATAACTAAACTATATTTATAGTATTACTAATAGTTATAGATAGAGGTTTATATTATAAAAGTAGAATAGGTTAACACAGAATTATACAAACGTAAACCTCTACTAGATAATCTAGATAGAGCTACTACTTATAAAGAGGGCTCTTTAGATTTCTATACTAGTAGAGCCTACTCTTATATAGGCTAGCGTAGTCTAGAGAGGTCTAAAGAGATCTAGAGTAGTCTATAGCTAGATAGCTATAATAGCTTTCTTAGTTACTTATTAGTTATCTTAAGCTTTAGATCTAATTATTCTTATAGTGTTATAGAAGCTCTATTATCTAGTTATATAAAATTATTTTCTTTACTAAATTAGATAACTCTTTTCTTATTTAGAGCCTAATAGCTTAAAAAGTATTCTATTCTATTCTTATAGCTTTAGAGATATAGAATATAATTATTACTAGATTATTATAGTATTATCTTCTTCTAAACCTTAGAAAGATTATAAAATACTACCTTCTTAGACTCTAAAGACGCTCTAGAAATAGTTATAGCTATAATAGTGTTATTATATTAATTTAAGTTTACTAGATATAGGTAGTAGTCTAATTTATCTTTAGTAAAGATACTTAAAAGCTTCTAGAATTATTCTATATTATCTACTTAGAAGCTTCTAGTAGAGTCTAGTATAAGCTAAACTAAAATTACGTTATTCTCTACACTAATTAGAGCGTTTAGGCTACTAAACTAAGTATTAACTATAAGAGAGTTAATATCTTTCTTTAGAAATTATTATTTAATCTTAGCTAAAATACTCTTAGCCTATAGTCTTTAGCCTAGATTATTAATATAACTCTAGAGGTTCTCTAGTGTACTCTACTAAAGTATATTTTATTTATTTATATAAAGCTAGCTCTTATCTATATACGCTTAAAGAGTTAGGTAGTTCTACTTATAATAGTTACTTTTATTATATACTTAATAGTTTAGAGTTACTCTAAGAGCCTGTCTATTTATAGTACTTTAATTATATCTAGGTTCTAGATTTTAAAACCTCTAGAAGTTATTATAGAATATCTAACTAGTGTTCTATTAGTAACTACTATACTACTACTACTACTAAGGTTAATACTAGTTATTTAGCTAGTATTATCTCTAGTCTTAGAGTAAGTACGCTCTTAAGTAGTTTACGCGTTTATTAGCTTAATAGTTTACTTTACTGCGTATATTAAAGTTATTTATAAGTTTAGTTTTATAGTAGATCTACTAGATCTTCTATAGTTTTATTTTTAAGCTAGTATAATTAATCTTTAGATTAAGTATCTTATTAACTAAGTTATTTACTTCTATATTAGTAGATACTTTTTCTAAAGGTAACTTAAAGGTATAGAGTTAGAAAGGCTTTTCTTAGAGTAGAATATTAAGCTTAGGTAGCTAGAAAGCCTGCGTATAGTTATCTTAAGAGGCTAGTACTAGTTACTAAGGTTACTAATAAACTATTAGCTGCGCTAAGTTAAATTTAACTTCTAAAATAATCTCTTTAACTACTTTAAAGAGGTTAAGTATATAAGCTTTTTCTTCTACCTTTAGATAGGTAGTAAGGTAGTTACTAATCTTAGTATAGTTAAATGCCTTTAGGTTATTAGTCTTTAAACTAAACTTATTAAGTATCTTTATAGTATATCTAAAAAGTAGTCTCTTAACTAAGTAGAAACTTTAGTAATCTTTATTAATAGTTAAAGCTTTAATATAGCGCTTACTATAAATCTAAAACTCTTATAAGTACTTCTTAATATTTAGATTAGACCTAGCTTAGCACTATAGAAGCTAGTACTTAAAGTACTTAGTCTAAGCTTTTTATTAGTCTTTATTATTTATATAAAAGAGCTTTCTAAAAGCCTCTCTAAACTTCTTCTAGAATTTAGTAACTAGAGTATTAGTATATTTATTTAAGGCTTAGATAATTACTCTCTACTTAGGTTTATAGTACGCTAAAAGGTAATTAATCTTTATCTTATCTATAAACTTATAGTACTTTAATATATTCTTAAAGCGCTTAAGAAATATAGTAATATTAGTTTTATTAAATACTAGAACTATCTTTAATAGGTATAGAGAAAGCTAGATAGAATAGACTAGAGAGTAATTATCTAGCTACTAGAGAGACTAAGCTATTATCTAAAGAAGCTTTACTATATTATTATTCTAGAGTTATACTAGAGGTTATACCTAGAGCTACTAGCTAGTAGTACCTAAGAACTCTAGAATATTTAGCATCTTAATATTCTTCTAGAATAATATAGATATTGCTTTAGGCTTTATAAGCTTAGTTTAGAGAGGTAAAGATAGTTATTTAGTAAATTAAGCTTTTAAAAAGGCTTTAGTAACTAACTTAGATTATTTATTAACTTTAGCCTTATTAAATTAGTTTTTACTTATTTATATAAAGTAGTATATAAGTATTATAAATAGTATAATAGTTAGTGTAACTATTAAATATATAAGTACTATTAATTAAGTTTAACTATTTACTTACTAAAGAAGTTAGGTATTCTTTACTAGAAGAGCTATTACTATCTCTTTTATATACTATAATAGCTTTCTACTACTATTTTATTATTTAGTCTTTTCTTTTCTAGCTATACCTAAATTAAGATCTACTATGTTAGCTTTTCTAATCTTTCTTAGATTCTATTATTTATTCTTAGTAGAATAGTATAGCTATATACTTTTTATTATATTATTTTCTATCTATATAGCTCTCTAAAAGGTAATTAGCCTAGTCTAAACTTTTTATTTAGCTTTTTATATTACTTAGTGTAGCGCTACTATAGCTATATTATTTATTAGCCTAAGTAGTAGTTATTATTATCTAATTATTTATATTATTAAAGGTCTTTTAGTACGCCTACTTCTTAGGTTTCTATATAGTTAGGTTTCTATAGCTTATAGTTTACTTCTATACGTCTTTTAGGTATACTATTCTATATATTATTTTATTCTCTATTTTATATACTTACTTATTACTTATTCTATTATATTATATAATAATTGCGTTTTTTCTCTTTTAAAGCCTAGTTAAACTATTATTCTAATAAGCCTTTAGTAAGTAAAATATATACTTAAAGGTAGCGCGTAGTCTTTCTAAGGTAGAAGGCTAAATAGGTTAAGTTTTAGTTAGTTACTATATATAGTAAAGTAATTAATAGTATCTCTATTAGAATAGGTACTTAATGTAATTAATTATATTATATATATATATAGTTATTATTCTTATCTAAACACTATTTAGACCTAGCTTCTCTCTAGCGCACTAACTCTTAAGCCTAATAGCTATTTAGCCTTTTATTATATTACTAGTTTTACTACTATATAAATAATAAGCCTTTAATAGTAAGACTTTAAATAATAAGCTTTTAATAGCTTTTTAAAACTTTAATTTACTATTAAGATTATTTTAACTATTTTTTAAAGCGCGCTATATAATTTATATTTATTAATTTAGTATTATATATAATAGTCTATAAGTATATAAAAATAAGTATAAAGTATAAAGTCTTTATAGTCTACTTATAAGTAGTTAAGTTATAAATTTTATAGAGCTTAGCGCGCTAAGCCTTTAGCTAATATTTTAATATTTTTAATTTTTTACTAAAAATTACTTTAGTACTATAATCTATTAATATAATACTTATTTATAAGTATTTATTTTATATAAAGTACTTAGTACTAAAAGTGCTTAAGTATATATACTAAATATAATAAATAAAAGTTTTTTAAAAGTATTTTTTTATTTTTTAATACTTACTTTACTTACTATATTAGTAAGTACTTTTTTATTTTTACTACTACTACTATATATTACTAACTAAATAAATATTTATATACTTTAATAGCTATAAAGCTTTCTTTCTAAGTTAAATTTTTAATAACTTTTACTTATTTACTTTTACTTTTTTTCTTAATAATAAGATACTTTCTTTATAGCTATAGAAAAAAATTAAAAAGCTTTATAGCTATAATATTAGTAGTAACTTAGCCTAAGAGTTTATAGGAAATGTTGCTAGTTAGGGCGCGCTATAGTACTGTTAAATTAAGTGGGTCTTAGTATGGTAGCCTAGCAGCGAGCTCTCGTAGAACGTACTATCTCCACACTCTTCTACCACGTCTCTCACCTCAACCCCACTCTGCTTCCCAGAACTCCCAAGACCTTGAGCGCGCACCGTCATGACATCTCGAGGGCGCGGAAAAGAGCCTCGTTCTGGCGCATCACCTACCAAGAACAAGACAGAACGCGATCGTCGAGCTCAGCGCAAGACAGCGGTGCGTGAGCAAGCTCTCAAAGATGAAGCTCGCCGAGCTAAGATGCAAGTTTCCTACTTCTCCAGCTCTCTGTAAAGAAGGATAGCTAACAAGATCTCCTAGCACTGAGATGAACGCACTCAACTCGCCCCTCCTTCGTCTTCCGGCTGAACTGAGGAATGCTATCTTCGCCTATGTCTTCAGCAGCAACGTCTACGTGTTCGATGGCGCCAGTGTGTATCGCGACAAGACCACTTCTTTGACTTCATTCAACGAGAACAACCTAGGCGTGCTGGTTACGTCGCGCCAGCTGCATGCCGAGACAGCTCTGCTCCCATACCAACTCGCGCTCTTCCGTTTCGAGTTCGGGGGGATCAGGGTTACCAAAGGCGAATGGTCACACTGTGTCGAGAGGTTCGTCAAGAGCAGAACGAAGGTACAAGAGCTAGTCGCAATCAAAAACATGACGGTCACCCATGTCAAGATGTACGTCGTGCTATCATGGTACATCAGCTTGGAATCATTCGAATCCTATCAAAAGAGGACGAATGGATGTTGGGACGGCGCTTTTGATTGGCAGATAGCTTACTGGAGGTAAGCAACGGCATCTGTACCAGCTCATTGGGCTGGCGCACCAAGATTGAGGCAGTCAGAGGCCAAATCCGAGTAGCAATGTCGGCATTGAACCATCCAATCAACGTAAACCAAATACCCTCGTTAGCCAAGTGAAGTTCTTTGCAAACAGTGTATACGTTCCCCGACCTGCGGTTATCAACACAATGCAGCTGAAGATGAACGGCATTGTGAGAATGAATGACAAGTAATTCTCTATGTACGATCGCTCTACTCTTAGGTTCACCCAACTCTCTCTGGCTTGATATCAGCTAAAGTGCGCCTTTGTATGCCACTTTGACCATATTCTCTCCACTACCTCTACTCTACCTCCTCTCCTCTCCTTCAACCAGTACTCTTCCCACTGACACATAAGCCCCCAACGCAGCACAACATGTCGGCTTGGAGATTCCGCACCCCCCAGGATTCGTTCTACAACCGAGTCTACGCTAGACCCGCGACGTACGCGTCATCCCGCACTCTTGAAGACACCCACACACCTCAATGTCGAGCTCGTCGCGACCAAATGTAAGAGCTTCAATCCGTAATCTCACGGATGCAAAACTGATATACTACGTAGAAGCGAGCTCAACGCAGCCAACTCACCCCTCCTCCGCCTACCCGCCGAGCTACGCAACACAATCTATACCTACGTCTTTAGCAGCACAGCCTGCGGCTTTGTAGATCACAACAACGACAGGGACTTCGATCCCGGTCAGATATTCTCGTTCCAAAGGTGCAATCTAGGCTTAGTAGCCACATCGCGTCAGCTCCACGCTGAAACCGCGTTGCTTCCATATAAACTTGGGCTATTTCAATTTTTTCTCCACAGACCGGAAGGCCCGTGGGAAGTTTATGTAAGGGCATTCATCGGCAGCAGATCGGAGGAACAGCTTAGAGCCATGGGCGAGGAATTTGAAGTGGTTGGATGGGATCCTGAGACCAGAGCTGATAGGCCATATTGGGGTACTGGGGTGCAATGGGCTGACGCATTCGCTAAGAATGATGTGAAGGCATTGTGTCCGGAATGGTACAGACGAAGAATAGGGGAAATTTGAGACCGTTAGTGGAGCGTCTATGCATACATGCGGTGGTATTCAACGAGTTACAAATCTATGGGTATTCTGACCATTGCAGTTGGTCACTACATCAGCATCTTTCCTTTCGATCAAAGATATGCGATTATACAATGATGAGAATGCCGGTGGTACTTGGTTCTTCGGCGGACGCGGTTCATCTCTTCCAAGTCTTGCTGTGTGAAACATTACATGGCGACCGGAGAACTGTAACGAAGGGTTAAATCCGATATAGATCTCCGGATGAGCGACTAAAGGCGGTGCACCCTGCCCTTCGCCGGAAGCTAGTCAAACAACGCTAGCCACATTCAACAAATGGACCGCCCAAGTGCTCTGACCTTCTACGACGCAGCCTTGTCACAAGACCACCTCGCTTTCGGCACCCCATTTCAAATCAATCATGGCGCTACCCAAGCCCACAGTGTCGCCCTTGGCCACTGCAGCATCCGCAAAAGAAACTCGCGACGAGAGCGACGTGATTCGGAATCTAAGTTCACTCGATCGGCTGTAAGTACCATAACCATCTTTGCGACTGGTCTCACTGACAATTGTTACAGCACTGAGCTCAACTCCGTCGACTCGCCTCTTCTTCGCCTTCCAGCCGAGATCAGAGTCATGATCTTCAACCACGTCTTCAGCGGCGAAAAGTACCTTTTCCACAGACATGAGGTTCTTGCAGATGCGATACTTGTCTCTTGTGGACGATCATTTACGGAGTTGAACATGAGTCTTCTCTTGGTCTCACGTCAAGCCCACGCCGAGACCGCCTTGCTCCCGTATAAGCTCAGCACGCTCTGTTTCCCTTCCCAGTCAGGCTGGTCAACTTGGCAGCACAGCATCAAACTCTTCCTTGAGGAGAGATCGGTCGAACAAATCAAGGCGATCGTCTGTTTACAGGCTCATGTGGTTACGTACGACCCTCAATGGGGAGGGGAGAAGACTGGGGTATGGTGGGCCAACAAACTAGGTGTTTGATGCCTTCGTCAGAAAGTCACTGAAAGGATATAATGGGTCAGTACAGGCAACATGAATCGGATCTCTTCTGAACTCTCTGAGTCAGAACGAGAGAGCGACCGTATGTTTGAATCGGGGAAGCTTCGGAGCGAAAGGATGAGGTAGCAAAGAACGGTGAAACTTGGCAATTGCAGACAACACGCATGTCCCTCCATTGTCGTCGCTCTCTGCAGCCACTAGCTTAGTAGAGAATGCCACACCTATACCAGTCTGGCAGTCTGCTCCCTACCTACTTCTACTCCCCTCCACGTTCAACCGACCACCTCGCTCATATTACACCACACAGCACAACACACCAAGATGTCACCAAAGTGCTCAACAATGCCGTCTCGTCTGAACGGCCAACCCCCAGCAAAGAAGCGGCGCTTTGAGGGTGCTGAAGAGAGGGCAGCGATTCGACGTCTCCGCGAAAGAGCTCCTCGCGACAAGATGTGAGTCATTCAGCTTTTGCCATTTCGAAAGCTGATATATCGTTTGTAGTACCGAAGCCAATGCGACCAATTCGCCTCTTCTCCGCTTGCCAGGCGAAATACGAAACACGATATATACCTACGTATTCGGCGACAACAACTGGAACTTCGTCGGCTGGAGGACACGGAAGAACTCAGCCAAAGAGAACGACCTAGCGTTACTGCTCACCTCTCGTCAGCTTCATACAGAAACTGCATTGCTTCCATATATGCTTGGAAGGTTTCATTTCAGAATGATGTACATGGGAGTAGAGGCGGGAGAAGTTCGAGTGGGTGATTTTCTCGAAGAAAGATCCGAAGAGCAGCTTGCAGCCATGGGTAGTTTGGCGCTCCAGAGTTATGATAATGACCGGGATCGACCCACATATGATCGTGGAACCGGAGAGTATTGGGCAGAAAAGCTAGCATGGGTCCAAGATATTTGGCTATCCGCCTTGCCTTTTGGTAAGTGTCCTCTCTTTCTTTTCTGAACATATGGCGGAGGGGGGATACTCATCGAGGTATCCTCTGAGCAGCGACATCGGCAGGCCTCATGCATTAGCGGTCAATACTACACCCACTTCACATACCAGTTCTCCCAATGACTTGACCATGCGTGCGCACATTGTGCACTCTTCAAACGCCAGACGGGCGGCGGTGAGGTGAATATTCCGCTTCACACCTCCGTAGTGACGCTCCCGATTGGCCAGAGCGGCACATTCCTCTCGCACCTGCGCGCGCACTCAGGGTCCTCACCGTGAGTGGCCATGCATCGGGTGACGCGTGTGAAGGGCGCGCATCGACGCGTTTTGTTGTTGTTTTCTTCTCGTTCGCGTTCCGAGTTCTTGACTTCCTCTCACCACCACGACCACTCACTTTCGTGTCGGCGGCCAACTCTTTCCACGCGGGTGTTCTTCGACTGTACAGCTTTGCCAGATTAATTGTACCCCTTACGACACTTGTACACCTCACCCTGGAGCCTACATCGACGTTGTACGAGGTGCACACCCGCTCGAACCCACCACTGCCATGGCGCCAGCTACCGTCTCGACGCCGCAGAAGCGCAAAGCTTCACTCTCGCACGCCTCGGCCTCGGCTAAGCGTACCCGCTCCGTCTCGATATCCGTCAAGGTCACCCACACGGCCACCGATGATGGCCCCGGCAGCCCGGATCTTCCTGTCGTACTCAAAAACCCACAAGCGTGTCTTGGTGGTATACCGGAAGAGCTTCTACTGAAGATCATGGAGCATGTGAAGGAAGTCGGCCGTGACGACGCACTCTCGAAGCTGTGTCGCACAGATAAGCTCTGCAAGCGAATCGCGGAGGTGGTACTGTACAAGACCGTACACGCCTTAGGGTCTTCCATGTACTATAAGAAGGCCGCGGCGATTGCCAGCAACCATCTCCTCTCCGAGCACGTCCGCGAAATCAAGATCTTCTTCGGCGGGAAAAAAATCAACAAGGACGCATGCTACAAGATCTTGGCCAACGCCCACGACATCCAAACGTTCCACGTGATGGAGACTTATGACCGGCCCGCACATACACCAAAATGGTTGCAGATATTGAACAGCGCTGTTGCGCGACCCGTCGGTGGTCATCTCAATCGATTTGCTAAGCTCAAGGAGCTCAACATCGGTTCCCGCAACCTCTCGGTGGAGGAGCTGTCCTGTGTGTTCCGTCTTCCCTCCCTTGAGACACTTACCCTCGAGGACATATGTCAAACAACACCTGTTGAGAACTGGTCGGTCCCCGAGTCGAGTAGCTCAATCCGAAAACTTCGCCTGGTTTACGCGATGATGGATATTTCTGTTATCGCACAAATGCTCCTCACGCTCAAGGCCCTCCACAGCTTTCGCTACCAACGCAGTATTGGGAGGTGGGAGCCGTTCGCCGCCGAAGACAATCCTTTGTCGATCTGGCCTGAGCACTCCTGGAAACTCCTGGGTGATGCGCTGAGGGGACACCGACACTCCTTAGAAGCAGTGTATGCTACCGACAATAGCGACAAAGACATCCTAGACGTAGTATATCCTAACGGTCGGGACGTTGATATTCTGGGATCTCTCCGAGACTTTCCGAGGCTGAAGTGTTGCCATGTTCCGGTAGAGGCGTTCCTCGATCCTAGGATCGGTGGAAATGATCTCTCATTGTATCTACCACCGCAAGTGGGAAAGGCTGGCGCCAAGGTCGCACCGAAGGGTCCAGACTGTGGATGCGGTTTCTGGAGGTCGGGCTGGTGTGGATAGTCGTTACGTATCTTTCAGGCCGAGATTTCAGATGGGGAGGACATCAAGTTGTTTGTAACTTTCGGTGTGTACCAGAGTCTTGTTATTGACCTGGCTGCGATTTGGGCCTGGTGTGTCATATGAAGGTGCGTCTTCTACAAGTAATTAGTTCGGTAATAATGTCTAATGGTTGCAAATCCCCGCGTTATCAGTATCGTTCTCAGCTTGGCCTACACATATTCTAGGCGTGTCTCTGTCGGATTGGGACAGCAGTAAGGTGGCCAGTCGCCGACGCGTCGCTTTACGTGAGTGCAACTCTGATTGTTGTCGTTGTGATAATGAGCTTCACCGCAAGTGTACGGTGGCAAGCATCAGCTAGGCAGAGATGCCTCGATCACGAAGGTTGAGGCAAGCGCGCTCGCGTCGCGTCGCGTCGCAGCGTGATGACGTAATATTGATTTCGATCTTAGCGTGGCTCGTTCCCCCCTCACGCATCAGAACCACGACTTCGACACCTCAACATTCGTGCATCGTTTGCTAAACACCGGTACCCAAATTCTACGCGATTCCGAATGGACTTCACTTTTTCATGACAGCTATCGTGGCCTCTGTACGGCGCGCATCCCGAAGCCCAGCGTCTGCTTGTCACTACCTACCACAACGTTCGTGCGCTTGTTGGCTATCGCCCCTGTCGGAGTTGCGCGAATAATTGTTTCTTTCTTTTGCGCGTTTGCAGCGATTACGAGGGCCTTCGCTAGCCATGGTCGTGCCATGCCGTATATCGTTGAAACATTCCTTAGGCGCGGAGGCCTTCCGCTCCTGGTAGGTACAATTCAAGATTCGACGCCGCCGAGCACCACTACGCGCAGACTAAGTTCGCACATTCCCTTTTCTATGATCTCCTTCCTCTTATCTCCTCTAGAGTCTTGCTGCGAACGCCTCTTGTCCAGGTGTTGTATATTGGTCCGCATGCCCAGACGCCTTGGAAGTCTTGGGCTCCGCTAGCGGGCCGTGGCAATGATGTTCGCTCCTTTCCCGAGGCCCTCCCGACAGTACCAAGCCGGATATCTGTGGCGCACCATGTGTATACGAATTTCGCTGCTTGGCAACAGTACTCCACTCAAGAAGTGTATAGACACCTTCCCTATCAAGTTAGCGGAATGGTAGTCCTGACCTTCCGCATGGAGTATGGATGCCAACGGATGCCCAGAGTATATTGCTGTACCAAGACGGTAACATGGTACTGAATGGTCGTGTGGCAAGGCAACGGTCGAGAGCGAGATCTTGCACCTTGAGGGTACCACACTCATATATATACCTGTTGAGCTGCATAGGAAATGTGCTCATTCCAGCTCAATCCTTCTCTTAGTTCCTCAAGATGAAGTTCTCACTCGCTGTGTTGGCACTCCCGGTTGCGGTCCAGGCTGCGCACTACTCCAAGTCGGAGTATGCCTCTGGCGCAATTCATCAGAAATTGATGAAGTTGAAGAGTGTATGTTCATACTTTGCTTCTTTCCCCTGATGATCAAGTACTAACAACCTCTAGGATCAATGGGAAGTTGACGCAGCCCAAGGCAAGCAGGATTCCCAGCAGTGGAAGTCTTTCAAGAGCTTGAAGAAGGGACCTCATGGACCCGACAAGGCCAAGCGTGTCCAATGCAAGGATGGTCTCGCCATCGTCGAGCAGGGCAATGCGAACCAGACGTTCAGGTGTAACAACATGGACCTCTACGACTTTGTCAACCACGCCGACATGGGAGGCCCTGAAGGCCAGGGTAGCTCATCATGGGGCTGGACCGCTCGCAATGGCCGTGAGTTCGGTATCGTGGGCCAATTCTCTGGTGCTGCGTTCGTTGAGATCCTCAAGGATGGTCAGATCCAGTACATGGGTCGCCTTCCCGCACAAAGTGTGGGTTCGCGATGGCGCGAGATTCGCGTACTGAACGACTATGTCATCATCGGCTCTGAGGCCGTTGGTCACAACGTTCAAATCTTCGACATGAAGAAGCTTCTGAGTGTTGACCCAAAGACACCGAAGATATTCGACCCCAAGGCCGACCTCGTTGGTCTGTTCGACGAACTGCCCATCGGCCGCACACACAACGTTGTTGTTGACTGGGACAACGAGTACATCCTCGCTGTCGGTGCCCAGCCCCGAAACCAGACCTGCAAGGCTGGTCTCCAGTACATCGACCTCAAGAACCCTAGCAAGCCAACCTCTCCAGGCTGTGCTAGCCAGGACGGATACGTTCACGATGCCCAGTGTGTGACCTACAATGGTCC